TCGACAACCACCGAAGAAGCCCTCACCGTAAACAAGCGTCGAGGCTTGTGCCGGCCGATGCCAACAGTTAGCCACACACGCCGGCGAGCAGGAAGCTCCGACTCTGACGACGAGCATTGCGGGAGAAAAGTGTTGGTCTTGCGCCGAGCCAGCGCCACAGCCGACCAACCGTCTCGTGTCATCGTCATCGCAAGGGTCCCTCCTCAGCAACTCCGACTTTAGGAAGACAAAATGATGCACGGCGACTCCTTAAACACGCTGGAAGAGACCGAGTACCAAGAACCATCAGCAAACCTGACTCCGCCCAAAACCGCCATCTTTGCCACATACAAGAAGCCCACAAACATCCGCATTGCCGGACGGACACCTGCCGACCGCAATGTTGTGGTCCAGCCCATGGAGCGCGCAAACGGGATCCGACGCTCTTCAAGGCGACGCCCCCAAAGAGGGAAGCGACGATGTCGACGCCGTCGACCGGCCTAACCGGGCCTTAGGCTTTCACCCGAAGAGCAAGATCCGAGGGTGAAGGAGGATATTGGTCTCCTCGACGACGCCTCTAGGAAGGTAAACCAATGCCAACAGGCGCCGACGCCACCGGCCGACAAGATCCCGGCAAGCTTTCACCTGGAGAACCCAACACCACCGGCACCCCCACGCACAGCAACTCCACTGACCCGCCCACCTCCATCAGCGCCACCGCATCAGCAGCACCGGGGAGCCACCATGAACCACTCGCTGCCGGCAAGGAACACCAGCGAGCCAGACGAGGGCGTTGTTGCCCCGTCCTGACACGCCAGGCAGGAGCTGCCGGACCGCAGCCCCGCATCCCGCCGACATCGCCACCCGCTGGAGGCCCTGCCTGGAGCCGACCAACCGCAAGATGTTGTAGCCTACCGCCGGCGACGCCGCCATGCCGTGCCGCACAATAGGGCGAGACCCTCCCCACCGTGAGATCCCGTCGTTGGACAGAGAAGAGCCCCGCCGCCCGGCGGCCTCCTCCGGCAACGGCGAGGGAAGGTATGGGGCAAAGGGGGCTGCTAGGGATCTGCCCGTGGTGGTGGCACGGGCGATGCGGGGGACGGGGTGGGTTGTCGATGAAATTTTCGTTTCGAATCGGATTTGGAGAGCTCGATCTCACGCTAGAGTAAGGGGGTATTGTTGTGCAAGGGGGGCGGTGCACGTGTTTCCTTCCATGCCTGCTGGTCACCGTGCACCGTGCTTGAGGTTGATGGAGTCGGACCTACGCAGAACTGGTGCAGGTGTCACGCACTGACCCACAGACGGCACAAGAACCATAAACGACGCATATCTCTGAAACTGAAACTAATGCTGCACAGACATGGCACTGTAAATAAAAGGCATTACAGACTGAAATACTCCCACATGAAAGAATACCCTTGCACGCACAGATCTCCATACACCATTTAAGCACGGTGGCCCACGGCACAAAACAAAATATAGACATCGATCGAAATATACCATGCATCGATCTGCCGCTTAATTATTTCAGTATCGTTACTAACCTGTTGTACGTCCTACTTTTCTCCATCCCCTTCTGTCACATGGTCAGTTTGTGTGTCAGTTTTCGTTTGAATGCCTCCCCCTCGTTGCAACTCTATCCTAGATATTCTCCCATTCTATTTAACGATTTACATGCTTGATATCTTCTAAAATGAAATTTTGCGTTATAACTATTTGAACATATGTGTTTATACCGACGAGATATTTTAAACAAGACCTATAGAAAACTCGATGAAACTTGGTACATACAGTAGTTTTTACATTTTCGTAAGGCCTCTCCACGTTCCATATTTGAATTTTATAATTTGTAAAAATATATTCAAGAGTGATGTTATTTCAATGTTCTCTTCACAAGGAACATAAATATGCAAATTTATCATAAATCAAACTTACAGTTCAAAAGATAAAATAAATTTAAATTTTAGAATCATATGAAAAAGAAACCTGAGTGAGCGTAGTACTACTCGTCTCTACTTTTGTGAGTGAGAGGAGAGATATTGCAGGTATAACTACGGGGAAAAGTAGTCAGGAGAAATAGTGACCGATTGATATGACATAAATTAAGTAGAACAAGTGGTCATCAATTCAGGTTAACTAAGCAAACACAGCGACCAGATGCATGCAGCTATCCGAATCTCAAAGAAAACCAGTGGCTGATACATGCACGATATATACCATGCATGGTAGAATGTCTTCTCTCCAAAACATAGCAGGCGTGTCCGCAGCAATAGGGAGCTAGAGCGACACAGTGGCCCCACGGCACACACCAAAAGGAGGTTGCCTCACCTACACATTAAAGCAACAGCGGAGACAACTACTGTGCATTTATAACAAAATGCACCACAGCAACTGTTTGATGACCAGCCATATCACCTGAACTGCACACTCACGCTTGTATAAGGTGCATTGCCAGTAGAAAGCCTGTCAGTGCTCTCGTGCTTACCCTCCAGGCTGACTTCATGCTTGACAATTAAGGTGTGGCTGCTACTTCCAATTATTAGTTGCACCTCCCCTAGTACCTGAATCTCATCACTGGCAGACACAGCGAGTACATGGCGATCAAGCGGTAGACTCACTGTCAAATAGGTTGCTTCCTGATTGCCTGACTCAATAGGCATGGAAAACCTGAGCCAATCAAGCCTCTCGCGGTCGAATAGTTTGACTCCTTGGCTAAACCTCTTGATCATCGCCGTGATACCACCATATACTGCTGAACGCAGCCTTACTGTTTCTTGCGGGCAAGGAAAATGCAGCTTTAACTGCACGTTCGCCTCCACAGCATGAGTTAGCACCGCATAGCTCACATCCAAGTGTCGACCTTGGATTGTCGTGATCCTGTGATTGGTCACCGTGTTTTTTTCCCTTCCATCCCATTCAAATTCCCATTGAGCCGCATCGCCCTTTTCCTCAACAGTTTTCCGGGGGATATCAACTTGAAGAAGGAAACCTGTATCAGCTGGAATCGCTGCTTCAAAAGGCCCCGTCAAAGTCAACATGCCACCCTTCAAATTTGCTTCCCTGTCCTCATAACCATAGATGTACTGGCTGTGACATCCATCGAACAGAGCAATAGTGCCAAGGATGGGGGAGTCAGCATTGATGGAAAATATTTCGACCAAAGGTCGGATGTAATACTGCTTCATCAATTGGTCAGAAATGCGGTCTACAGCACTGGTTCCACTGCCAGAGTCTGCAGCATCAACTACCTCATCGCTGCCACCACCAGAAAAGCCTCCTCCCCTTCCAAACTCACCGCCACCAGAAAAGCCTTCTCCCCTTCCAAACTCACCGCCACCAGAATAGTCTTCGCCCTCTCCGCATTCATCACCACCAACAGGGCCATCTCCCGCTCCAGAGTCACCTTCACCAGGAGGGACTTCTTCCTTTTCTTCTCCTCCTCTGTTTTTCTGTTCTTCTCCTTGTGCATGTTCTTGGTTTAAAATAAGCGCTACAGCAGCGGCAGCTAACTCTATATTAGTGATTCCGAGTGCCACCAAGAATCTCTTTTCTGACCAGTTAAAGCTCGTATCACGGGACCAGCTATGCATTCCATTTGAAATATGCTTCCAGTTCCATATATAATCCACTAACTTTCCAATCAAGTTAAACCGTTGTTGGCGGGCCCAGTTGATATTCATATGATCATGATTATGAAAGAGCCTTGTTGGCTCGCATAATCTCAGTGCAATTCCAGCACACGCACGTAGGACAGACGCCAAGTATGTATCATGTGTGTGGTCAGTAAGCCAACGCACATCAGGGTAGTCAAGGAGCAAAGATGCATCATCCTTCATATTTTCTGGCGACAGGTTCAGTTGGCACATGGCTATTTTTACCACTTCATTGTCAGGTCTGGGATCACTGAATTTAGTGCCACACACCATGTTGGCATAGCTGGTGCCGGCTTCTAAGAAGGTTGAATCTGGGATGAGTTGAACACTACCAATGTTGTAGCTATCCGGCTGCTTGCTATAACCTAGCTCATACCACTTCCCATGTTTATTCTGGAAACCCACGAAATATACATTGTCTCCTCTGACAGCAAGAATCAACACTAAATCCTCCCCTAGTACGAGATGGATTAGCACCCATCTTGATGGCTGTGCTCCAGGCCTTTGCTTCTCCAGAACAGGACGGTCTTTAATGGTCTTAGCATCATTGTGCTCAGAGAGCACCTTACGGAGCTTGTCAATAAACTCATTGTAATCATTCAGATCACCTGACTGAATATTATAAGTGATTCTCACAGCATCGTTCCATTTCAATCGCTTGCAACTGCTCAAAAGGGTAGATAACCATTATCAGCAACTATAGCAAAGACCAAAGGTGGCCTGACAGCAAAACAACCATATGACTCTATTCATTGTGGATTGCATTAATGGTATGTTAATAACATAGGCCTGTGCCAACTATCACAGAAGAAGTTAACCTTTCGAGTATAGCGATCCTCTCCATAATGTCGGCAGTCAAGAGGGCGGGGTCAGCATACTTGGGCCGGTTTTTTTGCTCCTCCTCTTTCTCATCAAGCCATTTTTGTATACTGGAACAATGAAGTTTAGCCTACATAACAAACAAACAAATAGATCATTGTACATGATTTATCAAGAAATCATCGAATTTTAACCATGTCTTTATGGTTTACCTCGGCATTGTCAATTGACTCCACAAACACCAAACATTTCTTCAAATCCTCAATGAGGCGAGGTCTCTTTTTAGACTCATTGTACCGTGTCTCCATAGGTTCACCGATCTGCAAGAGGCCGCACATTTGTGTCATGTCGAAACTGACAGGACATAAAAAATGAAATGCAACCATCAAATAGTGAAAATAGCGTGGCGTACCCCTTTAAGTTTGGCAAGCATATCAACGTAGTCATCGATGTCGTGCTGTCCAGACAATGAATCTTTAGTGGCTTCCAAGGTCTTTGTAAATGATACTTTATCTTCAACTTCCATATATTGATCGTACTTTGTGCCACTTAGCTACGAAATAACTAATGTCAGAGATTTTACATTATTTCCAGAAGAGTGAAAAACAAGGAATGGATGGAACCTTTTGAAGAAATGAAGAGTACTAGTTATGTAACCCAAGACATCATTCTTTATTGCCTCCAGTTTAGCAAAATCTCTCTCTTTCTCCTTAGTCGTGAGCATATCTTCGGTCCCCATTTCACCATCAAATTCAAGCTCTGCAAATTCAACCTAGAATTTAATAGGAATGAAGTTAGTTTATTTGCACATGCGAAACAGACAATATCTTACTTCCTAAAGTAAAAAATGACATTGCTTTTCTTTCTAATACAAAACAACACTTTGGTATCATTCCTTTTTTTTTGGCATGAAAGTCACAGATGGAACTTCAAAGTCAGTAACATTCATATGAAAAAACAATAAACATAATTACGATATGCCCAGGTAAAAGCTAGCCACAAGGCTCAGCTTGTAAGTCAAGGAGCACATTGCAGGTATTAAGGAATATCTTACGTAACTGGTTCAACTGATAGTTTCCCATAGTCGTCAATAGTGAACTGGACCTCTGAAGTTGTGTTTCCACCACTGTTGGAAGGCCATTTGAACTACGTATACAAAATGTAAACATTGAGAATAATGTGGCCAATATTTAGATTCATGGACTATGATAAATAGCGAAGACGAAAACTCAAAACTGTACCTTGCATCTGCATATCTTTGTAGGAGTTTTTGATTTCTCAGAAAATGCATATACGCTGAGCTCAGATGCATCAGGCGTAACAGATACAGATTGAGTGCATGGCCATGAAGCACCTTCCTTGAAAAGCTGGGTATGGTTGTCACCATTTTGAAGATTTTGCAGCCAACACACGGTAATCGAGAACGGGAATTGATCAATAATCTGCACAATGTAGCAAAACAAGGGTCAAGTAATATGCTAAAAAGGTAAACAAAACAAGGATCAGTTAATAGTGGTTCTCTTTCTCTAAAGCTGCCTCTATGCCCATGGGTGACGACAATACTAAGGACGTAACTTGAGAACAAAAGGGCTTCGGATAATTAGATGGCAAGGGGTTACAGATTTGAGAGAATACAATAAAAAAGAGGATGCGGAAGACAAGTGTATACATGAGTGATGACAAGTTGACAATGATGGATATAAGCAGTCGGCTGGATAATTGTTGTGGACCTTGAGAAGTTACAGAATTTAGCAGGTACGTAAGCGTGGTATTCCTATTATTCACAAGATTGAGGATCACATTACCTTAAGCCCCAGCATACTTTTCATTTTCTTCGAAACAACTTTATCGGGTGTCTTCTGGTTTGTGTTACCACGGAGAGCAGACTGTAGGGCACAGCCCTTAGCAACACTAAAGTTCGCAAACTTGCTATCCATGAAAGGCGCTTCTCCAAAGAACTCGGTAAGTATATCAATGATTGCAGGAACAGCACTGCCTGAACCTGTGACAACAGATTCAATTTTTGCAAGCTTCTCCTTTGAATTTAAGCCGGCTTCTTCCAAAGCTTTTTTAAGTAGGCTATTCATGCCAACCAGCGCTTTGTGACATATTTGACTGAAATCTGCTTTAGTTAACTCAAGACGATCTTCTTCCCCCTTCATTAAATTTTCAAGCAAAATTTCTGCATTAGACTGACCCTTGCATATTGTTTTCTTCACCCTTTCGCACTGATTGAAAAGCTTGATGCGGGCATGCTTATTTTGTATAACATTGATTTTTTGTTTATCTCGTAACTGCTTGGTGAAGTGCTCAAAGATGAGCATATCCAACTGCTTCCCACCAAGAGAGCTGTCACTTCCGTATGACAGAACTTTGAGCTCACCTTTCTTGAGCTCACCTTTCTTGTAATGTACAAAGGAAATTTGCATTCTAGAAAACCCAACATCTATGATGGCTATAAATCGCTCAGTTTTTCCCAGATTCTTTGAGTTGTAGTGCAGATATGCCAACGCTGTCGCTGTTGTCTCATGCAGCAGCCATGGATCAAGCCCTGCAATCTTTGCTGCATTACATACCGCATTTCTCTGCGGCACCGTGAAATATGCCGGCACTCCGATGCAGCATTTCTCCTCTTCCTTTTCCTCCTTGATGGACCTTAGACAAGACATGGCTTTCATTTTCAGATGGGAGAATATCATGCCTAACAGCTCCGCTGGTTTAAAGGCATGGTGATTCACATCAACAAGAACATATCCATCATCGCCTTCTCTGACTGAGAAAGGTGTAAAATTTAAATCAAGTTCATTAAATTTTACACCAATCAGTTGCTTGATACTCCCTCCGTTCTAAAATAGATGACTCAACTTTGTACTAACTTTGTACAAAGTTGAGTCATCTATTTCGGAACGGAGGCAGTACCATATATCAAATTGTCAGCTTCAGCCTGGCTCACATTGTTGTATTCTTCCTGAGCGTCACTATCCTTGGGAATACCTGGGTTGCGCCCCACAATCCGTTCTTTCTCCGTAAAGTGCACAGCTGAAGGGGTGTTTGTGCCTACAATATCAATTCCACCTTTTCCTTCCTTCCATACTGCTATTGTGCAGTCTTCACCGAAATCAAAGCCTATTATTCTCATTGCTGCAGATCAATCCATGCAAAAAAAAAAAAGTTAATGAGTTAGTTTAAATGCAAAATGTAAAATCTGCAACTGGCTTTAGCTTAAGTAAAACTGTCTTTCCAACAACAACAAAAACACACTTAATATCGTTAATATGCAGGCACACGTACAAGGAGGTTGCAGCAAAGCGTTTATCTTGCTACTAACACAGCTACACAATACGTATATCTCGTAATACTTCTGGATGGCTTAAGGATGTATGTTCTTACCAAAAAAAAAAGGTTGTGCATTCTTGATGCAACATTATCGTGGAGCCTCAACACTAGAGGTGTAATTACCATGGTGAAGACGTAATTATCATGCTCTATGGTGATAAAGATGTCAAATGATGTAGTAACCACAGAGGTTACTACTTACCGATATGCCCATGATGTACATGCAACGATGGTAGTTAGGATTTTTTTACATGAAAGATATGCAAGTAGAATGGCAACAATTGTATTAAGCAGGAAGCAATCGCATCAATTGATTTAGCTCAATCGCATCAGTTCAATGGCATAAATTTTGTAGGCAGGAAGCAATTGCATCAACAAAAAAGAACAATATTAAGCTTGAAGCAGTGGTTACTACCTTATTCACTTGCTGGACAGATGAGGTACGGGAGATTGGAGAAGATCGCTGATGGCCGGGTCGTCCTGAAGATTGAAGTGCCTAACTGCAGTGGGCGCGCACCGTGCAGCCCGGGGGCAGTGCGCCGCAGTGCTGACTGCAGCTGGCCGACTCCCGGCTGAGTGGCTGAACACAGCCCACAGCCCCACAGGCCACAGGAGTTTGCGGCGAGGGACGGGAGGGGAGCGGCGACCCGGCGAGGAGAGAGGGGGGGGCGAGCCGTCCAGTCACCGGAGCCGGCTAGGAGAGGGGAGCACCGAGCCTCAAGCGGGTGAGGGGAGGGGAGCGGGCGGGGGCGGCGGGCAAACCGGGAGCATCCGGGCAGGCATTCTGGCGTAGTGGAGGGGGGAGCGGGCGGCGGGCGAGCCGGGGAGGGGAAGGGAGCAGCCGGCGAAGACGAGGACCGAGGGCGAGGGGAGGGGAGCGGCACTGCGGGCTGCGGCGGCTGCTTCTGGAAGCAGACGAGAGCCGAGGGGGTTTTTAGGGTTCTCGCTCGCTCTGTCGCTCACTCCCACTGAGGAGGGTGCGAGAGCCGAGAGAGTTTAGGGTTCTCGCTCGCTCTGTCGCTCACTGTGAGGAGCGTGGCTCCTATTTAGAGGGCTCCTCCTCGGCGCCTGTTGCGCCAGGAAAGTATGAATGTTTCTGGCCCACGGCCCATTTAGTGTTCCCTTCTTCGATCGATCGCCTTTTCTCTCGTACGTACGTTGTCCGCACGAGTTTTTTTTTGCTCGATTTTTCTGCTCACTCTCTTAGAGCTTACGGATTTAAAAAACCTAGAAATCAAAAGAGTTTTATGGTATTGATTTTTCTGTGAATTTGAAAATTTCCAATGAATCAAAAAAAATCATGGATCTGAAAAAAATCACAGATTTATAAAATTACCGATTTGAAGAAAAGTTCACAGATCTGAAAAAAGTTCACCAATTTTAAAAAGTGCTTCAATTTGAAAATGTTATGAAGCTTGAAAATAAGTTCATGAATTTCATAAAAGTTTGAAAATTGAAAATTAAAAAAAATGTGGATTTGAACAAGTTCATCGATTTTGATTTTTTTGACAAATTTGAAAAAAAATCATGGGCTTTGAAAAACATCCATGGACTTGGAAAAAAGTTTGCATATTTGAAAAAAGTTCATGAATTTAGGAAAATGTTCATGGATTTGAAAAATAGTTCACGGATTTGAAATAGTTCGTGGATTTGAAGAAATGTTCACGAATTTAAGAATAGTTCATGATATTAGAAAAAGTTGCGAATTTTAAAAAAGTAAAAGAAAATAGAAAATAGAAAAAGAAAAGAAAAAATAATAGAAAACCAACCAAACAAATTCGGATAAAAAAAACAAGGCGCTGCTTTTTTTCAGCGTCGCATTTGACGCACAAACAAGAAGAAAAACAAGTTATAGTGGGCATAACAGGCGAGTTGTCCCGGTTGGTTATTGTGGCTGGGACGGAAGAATGCAGTATGGAGAGTGACTCACTAAGTCACTGTTTTTTATATAAACACTAAGTCACCGGTAGAGAGTTGCAGAGATAAGTTGGATTGATGGGCTTGATAATGAGTTGGACCGGTGAATGGCGTTGTCTTTAAGCCCATGAACCGCATAAATAACAGCAACTTCTTTTCAAAGGTGCAAGCTTTCTGTTACCAAACTTTGTATTCACCTGAAGGTGTACATAACATGCAGGGTATTCTAGAGCATGTTCCTTGCAAAGTCACGACCGGCACGAATAAAATATTATGTGCTCCATATACTCATGATGAAGTTAAAATGACCCTTTTCAAATGTTCCAATAGAAGCTCTGGGACCTGAAGGGTTTCCTACACATTTTTATCACACACATTGGGACATTTGTGGGGAGGAGGTTATTAATGCAGTTCTGCATATTATTCGTGGAGAGAAAAGCGCGGACACATCAACAACACTGCCTCGTTTTGATAACAAAGGTATTGAATCCAAGTCTACTTTCTCGGTCCAAGCCAATAAATTTGTGCAACATCATTTACAAAACATCTTCGAAGGTGATCGCAAAGGAGCAGTCAACGTTTTGTGCCTGGTAGATTGATCGCCGATAATATTTTTTGTCTTTATGAATGTCTCCACCTCATGAAGAGGAACAAGTCTAAGACCAATGGCTTGTGTGCTCTAAAGTTAGATATGACGAATGCCTATGATCGTCTTGAGCGGCTCTACCTCCAGGCCATCATGGGCAAGCTTGGTTTTGTGCTTACATGGATTGAGAAGGTGATGGGTATGGTCAGATCAGTCTCATTCTCAACTCTTTTCAATGGAGAAAAGCTTCAACAATTTAAACCATCAAGAGGGATTAGACAGAGTGATCCTATTTCTCCTTACATTTTCATAATTGGAGCGGAGGGCCTTTCGTGCCTCTCAAAATCCAGTTCTCGGTCGTCAGTTCTTAGCAGAGTTATGGTGGCACCCACAGCCCCAGTTGTTAACCACCTTCTCTTTGCCGATGACAGTCTTCTCCTATTCAAGGCTAGTATTGAGGGTGCTAATGAGCTTTCAAACCTCTTGAATACTTGATGCTTCTAACCAGAGGGTTAACCATGATAAGGCTTCTATATGTTTCAGCAAAGGGTGTCCCCCAAAACTTGATGCAGAATATCAAGAACTCTCTAAGTGTGCGGGATGAGTCCTTAAGTGGAAAGTATATGGATTTGCCAACCCAGGTGGGACAGTAAAATGATTCCTTTAAATACCTCAGCGATGGAGTCTAGGAGAAGGTGCGAAGCTGGATGAAAAAAGTGGTATCTACTACAGGCAAGGAGGTTAACGTTAAATCGGTGGCTCAAGCTATCCCGGTGTTTTCTATGTCTTGTTTAAGGTTACATTGAGGACTTTGCGAGAGCATGACATCTATCATAAGGCAGTTCTGGTGGGGAGCAGTCAAGGCAGGAGGAAACCATGATGGGTCTCTTGGGATGTGATGATGCGTCCAAAAAATCTGGGAGGATGGGTATTCCGGGATCTTAAAGTTTTTAAGATCGCACTATTGTCGCGCCAAGCTTGGCAAGTCCTCCATGAACCAATGTCTTTAAGTTAGAGGGTCTTGAAGGCGAATTATTTCTCTTCTACATCACTCCTCGAAGCTGAGATGGATTCCTGTCCCTCTCAGATATGGAGGGCGATACTCGATGGGAGAGACATTCTCTCGCAAGGTAGTTTGAAGAATTGGGGACGAAGAGACTACAAACATATGGATGCATAAGTGGATTCAGAGGGGAGGTATGATGCGGCCTCTCACGTCTCTCATTCCAAACCCTCTAGTGTTTGTTTCGGAACTTATTGATCCAACCTCGGCGGCGTGGTGAGAGGACTTGGTAAGACATACTGTCATCCCGAGCTTTGCTACACTCACGGGCATTTTTATAAGGATTCCAATCTACAGGAGAGGTGACATCAGTTAATTGGAAATTGAAGGGGCCCACAGCTAAATCAGGGACGAGAGAGTTATTAGGGAAGGACACGTAATCCCGTAATGCCCTCCGTAACAGCTTCGTCCGTAAGTCTAGAATCATTGCTTTCATCCCTATTGATGTTGAAGCTATACTTGAGATGCCTCTATGCACGGACGCGGATTTTTAGAGCTTAGGCTCATGGACACCTCCTATCCATACCATCCAGTATAGCTTTGAGATCCGTGCTAGACAACTAACTTATTGCTTGAAATTTTCTCTTTTTTGTTGCTTCCAAATAAAACAACATATGGACTTCTAACTTTGCAAGATAGCAAAACATTCTTACTACAATGAGAGAAAAAACTTACAGATTTTTTTGACAAACATAAATATACAAAACGAGATTTTCTTTATTCAAAAATGTTATTTTTAGTACTTATGATGCACGAAAAAAATCTGAAAGTTTTTTCCCACATTTTAGTTAGAATGTTTTGTTGTGCTGCAAAGTGTGAAGTTCATATGTTGTTTTATTTGGAAGAAACAAAAAAGAGAAAAGTTCTTGCATGAATCGCGATGTAGAGATGGATGGCTAGATAAGGGGGTGCACCTGAGCCTAAACTCTACAGAATATTTTCCCTCTATGCGCGAGAGGGATTGAACATTTGTGGGCATGGCATGGAGACCTGAGGGTGTGTTTACAGTGCGTTCAAGATGATTACTAAGATGAAAGAGCAAGAAAGTGCATCCAGCCCCAATGCCGAGAGCAATGGGTGGTTGGAACTGCGGTGAACCAATGTAACCTCCAAACTGGTTGGCGGCTCGCTCAACATCCGCTGCCTACTAGAGATTTTGTTACATCACAGAAACATGGCGAACATCTAGTGTAGCGGTAAACAGTTGGACATATTCTCTAATTGATGGTGGAGGAGA